TCGATGTAAATGGCAAGAATCCATCCTTTTTGATGGCTGAGTAATATTCCTGTGTGTGTGTGTGTGTGTGTGTGTGTGTGTGTGTGTGTGTGTGTATGCCGCATCTTCTTTATCCATTCATCTGTCGATGGACATCTTGGCCCTTTCCCCAGTTAGGATACTTTGGATATTGCTGGTATAAACATTGGGGTGCAGGTGTCCCTTTGGATCATTACATTTGTATCTTTGGGGTAAATACCTAGTAGTGCAATTGCTGGGTCATAGGGTAGCTCTATTTTCAACTTTTTCAGGAATCTCCATACTGTTTTCCAGACTGGCTGCACCACCTTACATCATCCACAGTGTAAGACGGTTCCCCTTTCTCTCCATCCTTGACAAAATTTGTTTCCTGACAAGTTAATTTTAAGCATTCTGACTGGTGTGAGGTGCTATCTGTTTGGGGTTTTGATTTCTTTTAGGAAAGCTTTCTCATGCCATCAAGAGGGTCACACATATAGCATGAAATATCTGCACATCAGAGTGGAAATACATGCTCCCTGCATCGACATGAAATACTAATGACATTCTTGACATTTCTCTGTATTGAATATTTAGTGACTAGATTCTAATATCTATGTGCTTTGTGTGAGTGATCTCGTCCTTCCTTATAAGACCATTTATTATTTATCACTCAGATGGTATTGTTAGTCCCATTTCACTGATGAGAAAAATGAGGTTTGTAGAGGTTAACAGTCTTCTAAAAGGGTCAGCCAGATGGTGAAAGTCACTAACTCTACACTTGAACTCTTACTGGGCATTACTGAGTACATGGCAGGGGTGTGGATGTTACAATAGTTATTAATTTATTTTTTTTAATTGATGACTAGACAGGGTCATGTCTGGACTTTGTTTCCACTGCCCAGGCTCTGAAAACCTTCTAATGAAAATGAGGGGCAGGGGGTGGTCCGATGTGGCTCTAATCAGGAAGCTGCACACCAGAGCAGCTATTTTCAGGAGCTCCCTCATCCACAGCTTTATCAACTAGTGACACTTTATTTATCAGACAAATGAATCCCCAAAGTGGTAGAACTGTGGCAAATTTATATTAGATGTAGAATGGCACAAATAGGCTTTCACTAGTAACAGTAATAGTAGTCAAGAACATAGATTTTACTGACACTTCCTGCCCTTGCTTAACAAGTATGAAAATCCAGGTACTTGGAATGGCCTGGGGCAATCCTGCAGGAGCCTGTGTGTTGTTGAGATCTCTGAAGGATTTGGTTGCTTGGTCAGAATCCTGCCTCTAGAATTATGAGTCCGAGGGAATCTCTCTGGGATGATAAACAAAGCATCCAAATGGATGAGGATGGGGTTTTCTAGACCCGAAGAACAGGGGATGGATACCAGTATGCTTGTTTGCTTAAGGTGCAAGGAGATAAAGACCTGGTTAATAAAACAACCTTAAACCCAGCCGATATTCTTCTGAGACCTGCTCTTCTTAGAGCCTGGTAGGATTTTCTATCAGTCCATAAATCCAGTGTTCTCCTGGAGAAGAGACATAGGCCAGTCTGCAGCAGAAGTAGAAGAGGATTCCACAACAGAGCAATGAAATTGGAATTATCTGAGTTGTTAAAATTTGCAGAGCGGCATTTGTAATCCTGGTTGGTGTCTGAGCTGGGGAGATGTTGGAGGTATCTAAATATGTGCCGCAATTCCAGAGTGAAGATCCTGGTGTGTGTTAGGGGAAGAAGGGGAGAGAGAGACAGAGAGAGAGAGACAGAGAGAAGGAGGGAAAGTGAGGGAGGGAGACACGGGAAGAGAGATAGAGATGTCCTGGTTTATCTAACATTGAACACCATTAACCAAGGGGGGAAAACTACTTTCAGAAAAAGAAAATCAAAACCATACAAAATGATGAATCCAAGAGGACCCAGCCAACCCAGGGACAGACTCAGCTTCCAGGACCTTCTGTAACCAGTACACAGTCAACGTGCAGCAACCCTCAGACTCCTCAGATGCCTCCACCAACCCCAGGCAGCAGTTCCTCAACCAAGGTACCATCTTCCTCTTCCCATTAATTGTACCCTTCCACAACATGCTATAGGACTTGTGATGACCTTGAGAGAGCTTCTCAGTAATTCCCTACGATGTATAAATATTCTAATTACCAAAAAACACCCATTATTTTATCAAATGCAGATACTGAGATTTTGTTGTATTAGATGTTCTTTGCTACCTGCAAGGTATGCATTTTGACATAATTCTTGATCTCAAGAGGGTTACTGGCTTGGTCCAGGAGTAGGGGTGGGGAGTGGCCAGACAACTAGAGATGAACATAAGAGGATGTTTATCCCCTATGTTCTCCATTCATCCATTTCTCCTTGATTTGCTGACCAATTTCTGGATTCATGTCCAGCATTCAGTGCTTGCTCCCACGTCAGCTGTGTGAACATATTCCATTTCTTTGATTTGGAATTCATTGCACCTATCTTTTCACTGGCCCAGAGACACTCCCTTCAGACCCCAGCCTGACTCATTTCCTCTGACAAGTCCTCCCCGATGCTCAGACCACAATGCATCCCATCTTCCCCCTGCTCCCTTTCATGGATCCCTTTATTTTTCCTGCCCAGCTTTTGCAACCATTATAATGAGTCTAAGTTCTCCTTTCTTCCTGGACAATAACCTCAGATGATAGGGAAAGACAGGACAAGGGTAGACAGGTGAGTGCCTACAAACGTGCATCAACTTTTTCCTAGCCTGCCTTTGTACTGCCCTGACGTGGCCCCAGGGGCTGCCAGCACTCGGGGGTACAATGTCCATTCTGTGGTGAATACACAGGCAACCTGAGGGATGGGCAAGGCAGCATTTTAATCACTGACTTTTGGTATACTTTATTACCTGACCCTAAGCTGCCCCCTGACCCAGGCTGGACCCTGCCCCCAAAACACACATAGAGTTGAGGGCAGACTCCTTATGGACAAGGTTCCTCAAGTTCTGTCTCCTTCTTCTTCCTGATGTCAGCCCCCATAACTGATAATTCCTCCACAGTCTCTCCAGGACATACTTATTGGATGGAGCTAGCAACCTCTGCCTGTTTGCCTCCAGACCAGGCAGCCATGGCTGCGACCTTATCTGGTCATTGGAACTTCAGTCCCCCTGTCTCTTTGCCATGACAATGACATAGTGCCCATCTCAAGATAACTCTACTTTTGCCATGCATACTGGCTTGGAAGTGACAGTTTCTACATCCCCATCTGCCTGTACATGTGACATGGTCATTTCTTCTCACTTAAGAATCCTTCTGCTGCCCTGAAACCTCCTTGGAGCACAGGGACCCCAGGGAGGCTCCTCTGCCCCCTCACTCTCTTACACCTATGTGTCCTATGGTATCATTCCTCCTCTGGGGTCTGGCCACATGCGCAGGACCCCTGCCAAAAGGGTTTCTGACCATTCACTCTGTGCTTCATTACGTGAGTAGGAAAGCCTTGCTCTGACTCATCTCAGGGTCTCCCAAGGATTTTCTCTAAGATGTGTGCTTTGTTTGCTTTTTTGGATCCAAAGCCATGAACAGCTCACTCTCACCTTTGATTTCTGCTTTATATGTCCTTGAAAAAAACAGCATAGAATGGCATGATTCGTGAACCAGGTGGGAGGTGGAGGATATACTCTTAGAGAAAATGACCTGCTTATGCATTCAAACTATTATCCAAATGAAGATTATATTTTCATCATCTAAGTCCTATTACTGTGATTCCAGTTTATGATCACTGAATTTTAAAAAGTAATAGCTCAAGATGATCCTGTCAATAAGATGACTAAGTGTATGTGGCTGGTATGAATGGAGAGACTACTTTTATAAGGTTACTTATAACAGAGTTGCCGTCAACAGGGTCATCATAAACCATGAAATACTGTTTATCAGAGCAGAGTACAAACTTCTAAAAATCCATGGGAAAACAATGATGAAGACATTTCTGTGCACTGGGCATTTACTTGGTACTGGATTCAAATCCAGACTTTGAAATCTGAAGTTTAACATTTAGTTAGCATATCCCAAATCTAGAGTAGATATGCTGACGTTAAAATGTCTACAATTCATTTTTATACATTTAAGCAGTTAGTGTTAGGTTTGGGGTTGTTTCCATGTGCCAGGTGCCCAGGGTGGCCAGAGGTTGTGTAATCAAGAAGCTGCTCTACAGAGGCAGCTCTGTTATATGCCTTTCAACAATTGGCACTTTAAAAATTAGATTACTGAATGTCAGAAGTGCTAAAAACTGTGGCTAATTAACTAATGTGATGAATATTTAATAGCTTTCATTAAGCAATGAAAGGCAGTAAAGGCCCATGATTAGCACAATATTTCCCAACCTTACTGAGAAAATGTACAGCCAGTGGCCATGGTTTGGGTGGGATATTGAATATACTGAATACAGCTCAGAATGCTGAAAGTTTCAGGTTGTCTGGCCCACTCTGTAAAGATAGCAGAATCCGTGGCTGAGAAATCACATGTTGAGAGAACATCTCCGTCAGGGTTAGGATTAGAGCTCCTACTGGGTGGAGGGCTGGATCTTCTAAATGCTGAAGAGCGGATGATAGAAACTGATGTACTTGATGAGAAAGGCTGAGTTAATAAGTGCCCATAAATGTGGCCAACCTTGTGTGAGACATGCTATCCTTACAACAGAAAGATAGCTCTGAGAGTTATACCTCATCAGTTGATTTGGACCAGTTCTGCAGGAAATGTAGAGCCACCATATTCTATCTCAGACCAATGAAATTTCAGTCATCTGAACTTTTAAGATTTGCAGAGTGAGATGTCTAATCCTGGTTGAGATGAGAGAAAGGTAAGGGTAGGATGTCTACATATTCACTCCTACTCCCCCTGCAACAGGATCTAATTAGTAGAGTTAAGGTCCTGTTTTACAGAGTAAGAATGAAATGAAAGCATATTATATTTCATCTAATTTCGGAAACAACCACAAAAAAGAACAAAAGTCTATTTTTCTACAGAGAAGAGATGATATAACCACCAAAATTGATGACACCATAAGGATGCAGCTATTCCAGGAACAGAGTCAGTTTCTAGAACCTTCAGCAACCAGCACATGCCCAAATGCAAGTCCTCCCTGCATTCTGCAGACGCTGCCAAAAATCCCATCCAGCAGTTCCTTAACCAAGGTACAGAGTGCCTGTTTCCAGTATTTCCCTTCCTTGTTAGCTGTTGACAAGGATCAAAAGAACCCTGGAAGGGCTTCTTAGTAATCCCCAACTGCATACAATTATTTCTTTATTTAAATCACTCATTTATTTACTGAGTATATATTTTAATATCCCACCTAAATTCAAATTCCAACTCTAATTATATCCCCCTCTGCATTAAAATAACCTAAGAGCCAGTGGACAGATAATCATCCTTATTCCACATGGGATTTAATTGGTCATTTATTTGTTTGATTTTATTTTTGTGTTTTCCTCAATGCACAACAGAGACCGCTTATGTGGAAGAGGGTGTAGAAATACAGAGTCAACCAGAGCACTATCACCCATTCTTCCTCTCCCATTTTTTATTATATAAATAATATTATCTTAGGAAATTTAGGAAATGGAGATACACAGGCAAAAATAGGTAAAATTTTACTGTGTGATCTCTCTTACATCAAACATCACATTTTGAAAATAGTCTTTCTGATTTTACCCTTTGTTATGTATGTACAAAGAATATCATTTTGTCACATGACATATATTTTTCTATAATCCAGTTTGAGGGTTTTTTTGTCACTTAATATGCCTTAAAGTGCTATTTAAGTCAACCAATGTAGATTTAAATTCTTATTTTAATGTATAAGGGGAATTACACAGTTATTCCATAAATTAGAAAAATAATTCTGTATTATTTGACTTTAGGTTATTTCCAGTATTCCTCAGACCTGCAATGAGCAAAAGAAGAACATGTGTCCATTAGATATGCTTCCATGAGCCTCAGGGTAGATCCATAATAGTTTTCCAAGTCAGATCACAAGAAGCATTGCTAGTCTCCGTGACAGCCAACTTGTGGCCTCATACTTGACCCTGGGACCCACCTTTCTCCTTGCCTTCATACTTCCTTTACTTCCTTTTACATATCAATACTTCCCTCCAATTCCAAGTTCTCTCCTGAAACTCTTATGTGATTCAGGCCACTGGGGAGACAGGATGTCAGAGAAATTCCCCTGACACTTGGCTTCTCCACTGACATGCTTCTCCTCAGGGTCCTGCCATTATTCCAACAGAGAAGTGTGGTAAAGGGGGAAATTATTCTCCTCCTTTACCCTTCTAAGTTCTTGGCTGAGACCCCTATAATAAGAGACAGATTAATAAGAGAAAAACAAGCAGAAGTTTGTTATAATATATATACTTCATATATACCTGGGAGAAACCAGGGAAAAATTAGTAACTCCCTGAGGTGGACTAAACCACTGGCTAAAATATCATCTTCAGCTAAAGACAAGAGAAAGGAAGGTGTGGAGGCCCCTTATGAAGATTACCAGGAAAAGTGGATAAACAAGGGTGTTTGTTATGCGGATTTCAGTCAGGTCATTGTTCATCATAAGATTTTCTTGTGATTTAGAGTTGTCCTTCTCTTCCTGGTGGAGAGAGAGACACTCTTACAAATACATGTTCCTTACAAAAGGGCAATTTCTATTCTCTTTGTAGAGCTTTTCCTATATCTGCTATTTTTTTAAATAATCAGCTCAAAATAATTCTATGCCAAGGAAGCATATTTTCAGATGGCTCATTCTGCTACTCTTCAAGAGCCTGGAGCCAGGGCACTTCCAAATTAGTGAAGTTCATGAGATTCTCCAGTGCTTGTTTAATCTCTTTTTAGCACAGTACTTCTTGGAAAAGGGCTAGTGATTTCCGTCTTTCAGTTGTGACTTATACTGGGATTGATTCCAGATGAAATCAGTGGTTTCTGACTGGAGCCTTTCCCACTGTCAGTGCTGTTAGGATGATTTATTTCCTTCCCTATTTATATCTTACTTTGCTCACTAAAATGAATTGATTGGTAAATTAAGATGATATATTCATCCTCATCTCTACTGGGAATCCCTTCATGACAACATGGCTATTGCCCACTTCCTCTATGCTTGACAGAGCTCTCCTAGGAGAAATACTTTTTATCTTGGGTTAATCACATTTAAAGAAAAAATATTATTCCTCCCAAACTCATAAAATAATGAAGAAAATAAATAAAATTATATTTAACTCTTCTCCATGTCTTTCACAGGCTACATTATACCAGGCCAGCCATTTCTGCCCAGCTCATTTTTTTCCAAATCTATCCAATCGGGTATTTCTGGAGGCTCAACATTGAGCCTAGGTGAGTCGCACTAGAAAGTGACTGTGTATTCCCTTTCTTAACTGTGTCTCTTTTTGATGTGTACTTCCAAGTAGAAACCAAGATTGAAGGCTGTACCTAGAGAAGCTTCCATAGAAGAGGGTTTTCAGAAGGGCCCCAAGGAAGTGATGGTGCTGAAAGCAACAGAACCATTTGCATATGATCTCATGGAAGCAGAGAGAAAGATGTTCCATGCCACTGTGGCTACTGAGAGCCAATTCTTCCAAGTGAAGGTTTTTCATGTCAGCCTGAAGGAGAAGTTCATCCCAAAGAAAGTCATCGCCATATCAGATTACTATGGTCGCAATGGGTTCCTGGAGTTGTATGATGCCACTTGTGTGTCTGATGTCAATGCTGACCGAAAGATGGAAATCTCAAGCAGACTGATCCAAAATGCAAATGCAACTCCTAAAATCAATAATCTTTACTCACAGGAGCCAGGAACATTTGTGAGTGGGATATATCAGGTGCATAAGGTAAGCCCAACACCATTGTTTTGTACTATTTCTTCTGCAACCCCAGAATTTGAAGGTCTGACTTGCCAAGTAGAGTTTGGTTAACTTCTGAATCACAGGAACTCAAGGCCCCAGTGACCAGAGTAGTTGGGTAGAAGCTTCCCACTTCAGGATATGGGATAGAAAAACTCTTCGTATTCTGCTTCCCAAGGTAATACCATGCAAATTCTACAGAAAGAGATTTCCCAGAATCCTTGGCACTTATCAGATATGATGATCCATTCACAGGTATTCTGGTCCAGTACAGTGCAGACTTTCTATTAGTATACATATCCTTATGATTTTGTTTGAGTTTTGTTTCATCCATTTCAGTGACAGCTTAAGTTAACTGTGAATAGTTACCCTCCCAAACTTGGATGCTAGTTTTGACAACCAGAGTAAAAAATAAAAAGATGACTCTGCCCTAAAATGCAGCTGTTTCCAACAGTTAGCTAAGATTCTGATCATCTGAATCCTAAAGTGCTCTTCTCTTCACATTCACTCATCAAAATATTGTAGGGAAACTGACTTTGGCATTATCTAATAGGAAATATAGATATTGAAAAGACTAGAGAAATCATGTTATTTAATACTCAATTTATGGGGTACCTGGGTGGCTCAGTCAGTTAAGCGTCCAACTCTTGATTTCAGCTCAGGTCAGGATTTCAGGGTTCTGAGATTGAGCCCCACATTGGTCTCCATGCTGGGTGTGGAGTCTGCTTAAGATTCTCTCTCTCCATCTCCAAAGACCCCTCCCCCCAAAAAATTTTTTAAAAATACTCAATTTATTAATATGGTCAATAAAATGCAGAATTTGGGTTAATTCTTAGAATTAGTGAAGGTATTTCTGTCCCAACTCATCATGGAAATACTAAGCTGAGCCAACCTTACTTTTCTATGGGAAGTTTTGTTCCATATTCCATTAAAGGTGTCTTCTAGGGTGGCTCTTCCCTTCTACCCCTGTTGTTTCCTGCGCCCTCTGTGTAAGTGGCTGTGCACACAGGTGCATATGCAGAATTAGTGAGTAGTGAGTGAGAAGGAACCTAGAACAATGGGACTAGATGACCTAGATTCAGGATTCAGGCAGAATGGGAGGAGTGAATAAATAGACAATGGAGAAGAATTACAGAAATGACATAATCTACTTAATGATGATTAGTGGCAATCCTCAGACTCATAAGAATTCTCTGAACAAAATATTTTAAGCTATTTTCCACCCCTCGTTCTGAACCTCCAGCTCATATTAACCTGTCAAAGACAAAAGTTTACACCCACACCCTGTGTTTCTCATAGATGTGGAAACCTGATCCAGTTCTCAGGAGAAGGGTGTTGATTTTCTTTTGCAGAAAAAAGTGTTGAATGAACACATCATTTTGTATGAAATACAAGATAATACAGGGAAGATGGAGGTCTTGGTGTATGGACGACTTACCAAAGTCAACTGTGAGGAAGGTGATAAACTCAAACTCATCTGCTTTGAACTAAGTGCGGATCCGAGACAGCTGAGATCTGTAATTCACAGTTTCATCAAGGTGGGAACTTCTGGGGAACATCATTTTTCCAACATAGAAGACTTAAAGAAAACTAGACTGACTGTCCTTTCCATCATTCTTTCTTTTTTTAAAGAAAGAGATTTTTAATCATGTTGAAGAGAGAAACCCTAGAGAGGCCTTCCAAGTATATAAAATTAGCTAAGTATTGTAGAATTGGTTGAATGTATCAAAGAAGGGAGATTATTTAGTAAATTTGGGCTTCATTAAGGCAGATTTGCTTCAAATCCTGGCTCTGTGATTTCCTAACTGGCTAGTGGACTTAAATACCAGGAACCTCAGGTCCTTCATCTAAAATATGGGGGAAATGTCATCTATCCCAGAGGATGTTAAAGAGAGCTCATACCAGACCTAAATGATCAACAGTGCCCCTGAATATCTCAAAACACAAAGTGAGCTGCCTTTAATGAGATATACAGACTGGTCTACACAGACAGATGGAGTTGGTACTAAAGGACTAAGTCCATGTTCTTTGTCACACACATCCATGAGGGATTGTGGGAAGACCATTAAAGGCTAATACCAGAGTGAAACAGACCAATACAAAGGTTGATGCATTCAGACACACAGCAGTCCCCCACTCTTAGGTCTCTCCAGTTCTGAGGCCCTCAAACTTTCCAGCCTTTCCCTCACAGCCTCACACTCTCCTCCCACCTGTCTTCCCAGTGAGAACCTTCCCCCTCAGCTCTTTGCATTGAGTACACCTGCTCTTTCCTCTCTCCTGCCTGTCCACATGTACTCATGCTGTGTGTGAGTGACTATCTCATTTCAGGATCTCAATCAAGGTCAGGGGGTGAATCAAAAGACAGGAATTCACTGAAGGGGAGAGGTGAGAGTGAGAGCTTTATAGGGAGAAGAGAGAAGGGGATGTAGTCAGTGGCTGGGAGAAAGAGTCAGTGCAGGGAGAAAGAATCAGCCGCATCTCAACTGCTCTGTCTTCATCTCTTTCTTCTTCAAGGTCATCAAGTCCAGGAAAAACAAAAAACAACCACTTAATCCTGATTCACATATGGAAAACCTCACTATAACACCCTTCTAAAAACCTGGATGCCATTAACAATGATGTCTGTGGAGGTAAAATCTAATTATAGAAAAAAAAATACATATATATGAGACAAATTCAGTGATAGATATACCAGCTATTGCTGCTAGGGAATAGAGTGCTAATGGGTACTTTTTATTTCCTTTTCTATACTTTTCTATGCCATCCTATGGCCATATTTTGCATGTATAATTTTTATAATTTGGAAAAAATAGTAAACTTTTTTTTTCTAAAGGAGTGCTATAACAGGAGTCTAACTCATTGGTATGTTGCTTAAAAGCAAATCGTCTGTGGCCCGCAGACCAGGGTGGGGTGTCCAATTTGCATTTATACTTTGGGTGTGATCTTGACAAGGTAAGGCTGGGGTCAAGAACAGGCACGTTGAATGGGCTGTGCCCTGCTCAGAGAAAGCCAGCTGAGGGCACATGTTAGCACAGAAACCCTCTGTGCTTCAGTTGCCAAGCCCTGTGTCCCAGGGAAGAATTGCTTTAGCTCAGAATAATCTATTCAGAATTGGTGTCCCTGAGGGGGCATAATGGCTCATTGGTCTGTCAAATGAGGCACCTTCTGGTGGTTTGCATGAAGGCGCTTCTCTGTTTCACGTGATTCTAGCCCTGTGTGACATCAAGCACCAACAGCTCAGTAGCTGTGCAACCATATTTCCTGGTTCTCATGCTGCACAAAGGTGGCTTCCATCAGGAAGTTGCCCCAGGCAAAGATCTGCATGAGGCAAGCACTGAAGAATCATTAATTTCCTATAGAGTACAATGGCAGAAAGTGGGTATCCCAAAACTGACATTTACAGTCTATTTCTTGATCCCATATTTACTACCTGGTGTTTTGCAATTACTTTGTGTCACTTAGTCTCTAGCCTAGCCATATATGGTTGATAGTTTTCTCCTCTTTATTCTCCTCATATGAGAAAAGCAAGGAACAGGAAGGTGAAATCACTTTCTCCTAATGATACTCAGATTCAATCCCAGTCCTCAGTTGAGAATCAGGCTGTGGTCCTGGTTTGTGGTAGGTGTGTGAGGGGGAGGGAAGGAGGATGAGGTGGAAGCTGTGAAGGATGGAATGGGATGTCTCCCTCTGGGAAGGTCCCAGGCTGTTTATGTGCAACTAATCTAAGGAAAAGAGGCATTACAGATCTGCCTTCATGGTTTGGGGCCAAGGTCCGTGGAAAAAGAATGAGTTGTTCTCGCTTGAACTGCCTCCTTTCTGATGGTGGGTCTTGTATTCTGGAGGCTTAGATGCCAAGAGTAAAATATATACCTGTTTTTATCTCCTTGAGTGATACCATTTTAATAACATATAGAAATAATAATATGCATTAATATATTAATAATATATTAATAATATATATTATTAAGATAGATACAATATATATATTAAATATGGTATATACATAGTATTTATAGTATAGATATACATTCAAGGTAATTTTGGTCATTTTGGGAAACCAGACAGTGAAGGAACATAGAAGTACTGAGTCCAGCTTCTTCATCTGCAATGAAAAAAGTGAAGTTTAGAGAGATTGAGAGAAGTCGTCAAGATCATAGCATCCCTCAGCTAGTTCGGGAATGTATTTGATGCTGAGATGTCACCGACTGCTAAAACTTCCTCCAAATCAGACTTGATTTATGGACCTTCAGGATTAAGAAGGCTTCACACAGAAATGATTTGTATCCTGAGCTACATACTCATAGTCTTTATGTTCTTACTCTTATTGCTTCAGATTCGTATTACTTTATACAAACTTTCTGTAATTGACTATTCTATAGGATGCAGATAACGGTGATTAAGAGTTAAAGAATGAGCTCTTGCAGTGACCTGTCCAATCCGTGTTCTGACTCTCCTTACTGATGTAATGATTCCCTCTGGAACTTACTGCTTCCAAGCATACTGTGTCTCTAAAGGAGATAAACAGGATATGGCCCCCCACCCAAAAGAATTGGGGTCTTTGATTTTGTGTTCATCTAAATAGCTTCATCCTCTAATGCCATGGACCTGCTCTATCTTCTATTTTTGCACTTTGCCCCCTTTGGAGTTTCTCCTCTCCCCCAGCATGAAGTAGGTGAGAAGCTAGAAGTTCCCCTAGATTTGAAGTGTGGGATCCAAGAGAAATTCACAGCTCAGAGGTGCTATCTACCATCACAAACTCCTCATTGCTATAGTTGTACCAAGTGGTCTTAAGGTATGCAGGAGGCAGAGAAATATCTCCAAGTATCTCGAAGTATCACCGTACGGCTCTGATGAGAAGATGTACATCCAAACTAAATGCCTCATTTTCTTCATTTGTAAAAATAGAGCTAATAATGGTGAAAACATAATAGTTATTATCTGTGGTGGCCATTAAACAAGGCATCTCTACAAAGCACTTAACAATTAGCTAGCCTGTAATATTTAGTAAAGAAAGCTATTACACTGCTGTTTTTAACTTGCATTTCCTATTTAACGGTATGTGTTATAAATCTTTATGTGTCAGAACATAGTCATAAACTGTAGTCATATTCAATAACAAATTTATCATGACTATTTTAACTCATTGTTTACTTCAATTATTTTGAATTATTCTTTATTTAAAACAGTATTTATGTAATGCCCATAAGCCAACATATTTCTAGGTTAAATACCTATAAGTGGGGTTTTTGGATCAAGGAATATGAATATATGTGTTAATAATATTGCCAAATTGATGCGCCAATTAATACTTCTGAGAACACTGTTCTTAATAATTATATCATTATCACATTCATAAACTGCATATTATTAATCTAACAAATAAGAAATACTCATTGTTTTAAAATCCTTGATCTGAGGGCATCTGGCTGGCTCAGTCATGTGACTTCTTGATCTTGGGGCTATGAGTTCAAGCCCCACGTTGGGCATAGAGATCATTAAATAATAATAATAATAATAAAATCCTGGATCCAGTTTTTGTGAGTCTTTAAAAAAATAGCTTCATCTTATTTATTATAAAAGCAATGGGTACTTATTCTAGAGAGATCAAAAACACAATCAAAAGGGTATTAAAAACATACACAATTTTATCTTCCTATGTGCTACATATTTTCCATTTTTTAAATTAAGGTATAATATGCATACAGTAAAATTCACTATTATTAGTGCAAAGTTCTTTGAGGTTCTTTTTAAAGATTTTATTTATTTATTTATAGAGTGTGCATGAGCAGGGGGAGGGGTAAAGGGACAGGGAGAAAGAGAAAGAATGGTTTTTTTTTTGTTTTGTTTTTTTTGTTTTTATTCTTATGTTAATCCCCATACATTACATCATTAGTTCGAGATGAAGTGTTCCATGATTCATTGTTCGTGCACAACACCCAGTGCTCCATGCAGAACGTGCCCTCCTCAACACCCACCACCAGGCCAACCC